TCATCCATCCTTGTGTGTGTCACAAAGTCCATCAACAACAAGATCATTAGGGGAGTGAGTGAAAGTGTTTGTCCATTTTTTCACAACAGCCAACTTTGACCAAACATTAAAAACTATTGATCCTAATTTCTCAAGTGATGTTGAATTCACTTGAATTCATAACATATCCATACAAACCAATAAGACCAACAAAGAACAACATATTGGTTTATTTCTAGAATACATCACAACTAGACCCTAGCAATCGATTATCGCCCGATTCCACTGGCATCTGCCAAGCAAGATTCCTTAAACTACATGATCATTAGACGCTAGCGACATTAAGTCAGTCAACTATAGTCCATCGTACGGCATTACCATTTGGATTTGCATGCTATCGTATCCAATGGTTGTACCAATAGTTGCACCTCTAGAATCAAAATCACCTCTAACATCCACAAAATAAGCGTCTGATTTCATAGCTGAACCAAGTAAGTACTCAGTGTCTTCTGGACTTGAAACTTCAGATTTTCCCCATGGTTGCTTTGGTGTAACTCTCATTCCCTCTAGCTCCATTGCCACTTCTTTCATGCTAGGCCTGTCCTGCCCTTTTAACCTTACACATCTTTTTGCGACTTCTGCCACCTTTTTTAGTGTCTCAACGTTTCTCTCGTTGACTATGTCATCATCAAGAACCTCATTCAAGCGATCTTCCTCCATGAAACGAACAAAGAAGTTGGCTAGGTTTCTGTCTTCCTCGGGCCTGGCCAAAGAAAGTGCCACTTTGCTTGTCAATAGCTCCATAAGGACAACTCCGAAGCTATAGACGTCACTCTTTTCCGTCAGTTGATTTGTAAGGAAGTATTCGGGGTCTAAGTATCCAAATGTTCCTTGCACTAACGTTGTTAGTTGAGTTTGATCTAGAGGGATCAATCTTGAAGCTCCAAAGTCGGACACTTTTGCCGTGTAATGTTCATCTAATAGTATGTTTGTTGCTTTCACATCTCGGTGGATAATTTGCATGAGAGCAGAGGAGTGTAAGTATGCTAGTGCTCCTGCTGTTTCTGTCGCTATATTCAATCGCAGCTCCCACGAAAGTGATGATCTTTTGCCATTTTTTTTATGGATGTGCTCTGAAAGAGTGCCCTCAACGATGAACTCGTAAACCAGTAATGGCGCCGGTGTCTCTAAACAACAACCTAATAACCTCACCACATTTCTGTGCTTGATTTGAGAAAGGACAATCACCTCATTAATAAAAACGTCACTCTGAGCTGGCGCACCATTAACTTTTGACTTCTTTATAGCAACCACGCTTTTATCTGGTAATATTCCTTTGTAAACCGTTCCATAGCCTCCTTCACCAAGGATTCTACTTTCGTGGTAATTGTTCGTGGCCTTCTCAAGTTCTTCTGCTGTAAAGAGTTTTGTTGTTTCCATAGAGCCTCCTTGACTAGCGAGTTGTTTTTGTAACAATAAGCCACCATTTTCTTTGAAGTATTTCTCTTTGAGTTTGATGAACTTTCTTTTCTGCATACCCCAATATATCCATAAACTTCCAACCAGTAAAAGCAAGAAGCCTCCGCTGGCACCTGCAGATAATTAAATAACATTACAACTACCTCATTTGATTTAATGAAAAGCTAAAATAATGTTTTAGTCAAAGTGATATGTTATATCACAATGAAAATTTCATAAGTCTTCTTACTGAGAGTAATCAATATTTATAAGTTGTTAAAAATGTTTGGTACTGAAAAGGGAAAACTTCCAATATATATTATATTAAAAAGACTGAAACTGGAACAGGCTAGCTAGCATGACTAATGTGTGGATTTTTTATTCTGTAATAATAAGGAAAAACGTTATGAGAATTTCGGATTCGGATCCGAAATTGTCAGTAAAAATAAATTTAGGCTCACCCCCTATATAGCATTTTATGCATTTAGCCTTCTGCTAGGGAACATCACCTATGCACGAGGAGTCATAATTGAGCATAACTAATTCATACGAACTTCGAATGGCGAACCGTTAGTTGCGTTACATGTATATCGACATCACGAACGTCCCAGTATTTTTACCTTCCTCAAATTTCTCCTGTAACCTTCAGAAATATCCAAAATACCCTTCAACCATGCAACCCGGCCAACACAAACCATTCTAGCTCTTAAGCCCTCGCTCTTCCACACTTAGACTACCTCATAAGCGCATGGATGTCCCAACGGAGTCACGAAAGCACACGCTCAAGTGCGATCCGTGACATAGGGCTCCTGCTGTTTCTGTCGCTATATTCAATCAGTTGCAAACTCGTACGACTGAATTCGAAGCGGTCAGCTTGCACAATAAACGCGTAGCTGCAGTGGTTAGAGTCCCATACGCCCGTGCGATTTGAAGGGCTTGTCAACATGACAGTCTGATTTTTCAGTCCGCTAGGGATGGACACTTGGCAACAGCCTACGCCGGAGCAAGTGTCCTGCTCGTCAACAGCCATATCTAGACTATCACATATGGACACGCACCCCGTCGTGTACCCTTGGTCGCCCCGGTAGCCAGTAAAATACGCTAACGTGTTGCAGCCAAGGGCGTAGAATTTGTTCTTGGTGTGGGAGATGGTGTAGGGAGGAGACACCCGCAGCCTGGGGACGTTTCCGCCGGTCCGGTTGCCCGCGTTGTAACAGTCTTCGGCTACATATTGCTGAATTTGGAGCTCACCGTCTTCAAGGGATATGTTGGTGATTTTGATATTGCTTGTCCCCAAAGTTGCTGTTGGGGCCTGGGTGGATTGGTTGCAAGTGATGTTGAATTCGGGTTGGAGGTAGCAGCCAGGGCCTATGCCAAATGGATATGGGATTGTGAGATTGCCACAATAATCTTGGCAGCCAGGGAGGGCTTGAGCTGCTGTTGCAATTGGAGTTGCTAATAATTATATCACAACCAATTCCACCATGACCAAAGAGAGCTGCAAAATAATTAGCATCCTCCTCATATTGTATGCACGCAGGCTGCAGCAATTAAATCCTTGTAAGTAATACTATATGCTACAAATTGTACTAATGTTTTGGGATGCTGGCCTTTTATGTGGAAGGAATTAAGACGCGTGGTGGCATTTCGGCTTATGTGGGAAACGGTCTTTCTAATTAACTCATTTGTCTCTGTTAATATTTCTCTTTTTCACCCCGACTCGTTATTTTCAGGAATTAGTATAAATAAATGCAATAAAACATCCGACTCGATAAATAGTCAACAAGCGACGGCGGGGGCGAAGTCAAGTCAAGTAATTTTATTACTTGAGTATGTGATTATTGATATTATTTTGAGTATGTGATTGTTGATATTATTTTTAAAATTAGAAATAAGAATTGCTGAAAAGTTTTTGTGATGTTTATAAAAGAAGGAAAAGGTTGACCGGTAAACCTCCAAGAACTTATCAACCTTTACTGGTTTCTAGAAAATTAAAAAAAAAATGGTAGATTTGATTAAGTCAGGGGTCATTTTTGTAAAAAGTATAATTTCTCAACTCATCATATATCACCGGCAGAAAACACATCTTGAATTCATAACATAACCAATGGATGCTTTGCCATAATTCTCATGCCTTTATAAAAGCAACACTTTATTTTATTGAATTCTTTTGTTACATTTTTTTTTTTCTTATAGTTGACAAATATATATTTCTTCGATTAAAAGGGGTTACAAAATAAAATCTGAAATTTGCAAATAAATATGCACGTGCAAACCTTAGATTTCTCAGGCCCCACCAGAAAGAGTAGGCTAACTTGGTTGGAAAAGTAGAATTATTCCCCGCATTACCAGACTTAAGGGAATCAAGAAATATTCCATAATCAAACGGCGCTGTTGCATTGTATGGAACATGTATTTTGCAATGTTCATAAAAAAAACGTGATATTTGGTGTAGAAGTATTGTGATCATAACAATAAATGGTACAACACGAGATCTCTCGTTGAATGGAAAAGAAGTACCAAAAGGCTCCAAGAACCTATTAACATCATAATTAATTAATTATAAGACATGCGATCTCTTTCAAGCTTCAAAAGAGCTCATCGTTGCAATAAACTATGTAAATCAGAGACAAATAAAATTGTTCTAATTGTGATAAAATAAATAGACTAGCTCTGTGTTTCCGGTAAACACCATCCTGACCACCATTCAAGCTTCAAGAGCAGGCAGAAACCTACACATCGAAAGTGCTTTTGATATGTTTACAGAAGCCTCTGAACATAGATAGTGAGAGAGAGTTTACATATATTTATTTCAGGAAATTAAGCTCGAACGGATAAAACAAAACTTACCACAGTATTTACTGGATGCTATGGCAAGAGGACACGCGAATAGGGATAGTCTTTTTTTGCTAGTACTAGGGATGATCTGTGAGGAGAGAGGGTTCTTTTGCTAGTAAAAAAAAGCTGTGGGCTTACTAGGCAATTTCGTGAAGTTTTATAAACAGGGGCAATGACTTCTGTTTTCCCTCGTTGACTGGCCAAGACTTTGTTTTCTGACCAAACTGGCCCAAAAAAAGGGTCATAGACGTCGCTTTTGGACTGATTGATTACTGACAAGACCTCTTTTCGCAACCTTTTTGTGTTCTTAAAAAAAAGTTATTAATGGAAGAACAGAACGGCTGTGTTGGAATGGTTTCTTTTTAAAATAGGGACGTCTCAATCACATCAGTGAGCCATCTTGTACAATTCACGCTGGGTATCAGTCCTCATTGTATCAATTTTCTTTGATTAATCCTATATAGATTGTGTGTGTTGTAGCCTGTAGGCATGGATTGCTTCTTGCAATAACATCAGTTTCATCTCTTTATTAGTTTATTAGGATTATAATATATGTGGATGGAGAAATGACTCTTCACATATAGGGGACAAATACTTTTAAACGAGGACGTCACAAACAACAATTCTAGATACAACGACTAATTCTACACATTTGCAATTAAAGTAAAAAAAAAAACATACAAATCACATTGAATTGAAAAATTACATATATATCCCAACTGATATAGAGTACTGCTAAATGAACTCTAAAATTAATTGAGAAGACTCTAAAAATATAAATATAAATAAATAGACCAAACTCGGGAGGTGTTGGTCAAATACCCTCCGATACCTAACTTTGAAAAAAGATACATCAATAATTAAAATGGATGGAATTTTATCTCATGAGGAGAGCCGGATGGTCGAAGCTATGTGTGGTGGCACTTAGCCGTGTGGGAGAGAGTAGAGAGGGATTGGGGACGGCAAAGAGAGAGAGAGAGAGAGAGAGAGAGAGAGAGAGAGAGAGAGAGAGGATTTTTGTCAGGTTTTGGAACTTGGAAGGGGAAAATTGCGAGCATCCTGTTCGAGGGTTTCTGGCCTGCAAGTATCAGCGGTTAATCTCTCAGGTAAAATCTCATTATTGATAGATTTTAAACTTTGTTTTGAATATTGGGGCTCCAGCTTCCAGTTGTGTAGTCGCTAATAAGACTTGCAAAGGATGGATGAGTTTTATAAGACGGAGGATAAGGCCGTGTTGTTGGATGACTCCCTTTACATTCCGTGTCCTTTATATTGTTATTCTTTTTATTCTAATAAAATTCTATCGCTTTTTCATCAAGCACTGCCAGCATAAATGCATGTACCAAATCATGTATATCACTTTTTAAAATTGATGATAACTTTGGAAAAAGAAAAAGAATAATAATGATTCTTTTCCTGTTTTTTTTCTTTGAGGGGAGACCATATTATAAAGGCATTACGATGATTACGGAAAGTGTTAGAAATCAACGTTAAATATAAGTTGACTTTGGGCGAGTAGCTAGGAGGGGGCATGTGGTGATCAATATGGGGGATAGGTTAAGCTATATGAATAGATTTATATAACTTGGACATTTTGATTACAAACCAGCCAATTACAGAAGTATTGCTTGCATTGCACACTTTTATTTTACGAGGCACTCACTCAAATTGTAACAAACTGAAATTCAAATCAACGACCATGATCGTAAGGCTTTACCATTTGGCTTTGGTCGTCTTGCAGTAGTGGTTGCAATTGAATCACTATCACCAACTTCACCTCTAACATCCAAAACGTAATTATAATAATTAGCAGCAGGTGACCCGAGCAAGTGGTCGGTATCTTTGGAAGACCGTTGGATATCATCAGCCTTTTCCCCAGCTGTATTCTTTCCCATAATTTGCACTAATCCCAGGAGCTCCACGGCTACTTCATTCATGGGAGGCCTTTCTTCACCTCTTAACGCTAAACATTTGTTTGCCAGATTGGCAACTTTTTCTACGATTGTCTCGAAATTATGTTCCTCCTTAACTAAGTCAGCATCAAGAATTTCAGCTAGCCGGCCCTCTTTCATTGCGCAATCAAAGACGTTTGCTAGGTTTTCTGCCTCATTTTTTTTCTTGGTTAGTGCCTTTTTGCCTGTGAGTAGCTCCGCCAGGACAACTCCAAAGCTATAAACATCACTCTTATCTGTTAGAATGTTTGACTGAAGATATTCAGGGTCCAAGTAACCAATCGTCCCTTGCACTAAAGTATCTAGTTGATTTTGATCTTCCAGAATCAACCGTGAAGCCCCAAAGTCTGCTACTTTTGCCACATAATTCTTGTCCAATAGTATATTCATTGATTTCACATCTCGGTGTATTATTGGATTAGAAATGGAGTGATGCAAGTACGAGAGAGCTTCTGCAGTACCTGATGCTATCTTCAACCGCGTTTCCAACGAAAGTTGTTCTTTTCTGTCTTTTCCATGAAGGTGATCATAAAGAGAGCCATTGGAGATGAACTCGTAAACGAGAATAGGTGTTTGGGTCTCTAAACAACAACCAAGGAGCTTCACAACATTTTTATGGTTGATTTGAGATAGAAGAATCACCTCGTTAGCAAACTCCAAGCTGTCAGTAATTGGGGCACTGACTTTGGACATTTTTATGGCAACCTCTGTTTTATCTGCAGGCAATATACCTTTGTAAACCAGTCCATACCCTCCTTCACCAATCTTTCTCTTTTCATCGTAATTGTCTGTCATCTTCTTCAGTTCTTCTTTAGAAAAGATTGAGGCTGTCTCTATGGATCGATTGTATCGAGTCAGTTGTTGTCGTAAAAGTAAGCCCCCAATTTGTTTAAAGAACTTTTCTTGTTGTTTCTTGAACTTTCTTCTATTCACTCCGCAATATATCGAAAAGACTAAAACCAGTAAAACGAAGAAGCTCAGACAGACACCTGCAAAATCCAAGTCCAACTTGCTTTTTATATATGACATCGTGGGACTATTATCACAATGAAATTGATTATTCAATTTTTAATTATTTTTAATTATATTATTACTGGTCAAATAGAAGCAGCTTATTATCATTTTCTTAGACAAACGTGTTGACCTATTTATGAACAAGTGTATAACATGTATGCCTGTTAATTACAATACATATTATATGTAAATAGCAGCTATAGCAATATGAAATTAACCAGCATACCCAATGAAATTTTGAGGGTAGTGTTCTTTGTTCCGGGTATGCAAGTCTTGGGGCCGTGGTTTCTGTACCCACTATTACATTTACAGTAGTAACTTCCATCTAGATTATGGCAAGTTCCATTGTTGCAGGGGTTTGAACTTAAAGTCTCGCACTCATTAATATCTGAAACGGAAAGAAAAATAATCTCATGTCAAGCAATAAAATTGGGTAAGAATCAAGTTAATGATCAATTAATAGTTTAGATTCACAATATGATGTTTCATATGTTGTGGCGATGTTGATGTATGAAATATTTGATTTTAAAAAAAGAAGAAGAAGAAAGCATCATCAGTACCTTGGCCACCATCTGTGAGGTATGGATTTCCATGGTAGCCGTCCAAGCACTTGCAAATATAACCAGGCTTACCAGGGACAATGGACCGGTCCACACATTTGCTATTTTCCTTGCATGAAGAATTATTGCTCTTTTCAACTACATCACACGGCTCATCCCCAACTTCCCAGTTTATGACCACCGGAAGCTGCTTGTTGTTGCTGAGCTGTTGAAAACTTTTATTGGGAGCATAAGTAAACTTGGAGTCTTCCACAAGGAAGGCGTAGCTGCACGGGTACTCCTCGTAGAACCATCTCGTTTCATTCCTGTTCTGCTCCCCAAAGCTAATCAGGGTCATCTCAAAGACTACCAATCCACCATCGAGGCCAGATTCGGTGCACGCAATGCCGGAGCAAGTGTCGGGAACTTTGTTGGTGCTTGTTAAAATTTTGTCGCATGCCGCCACACTGTAGCCCTGGCTGTTTTTCTCTGCTTTCCCCAAATCCAAAAGTGCAAAAGCTTCACAGCCAATGACAAACAATTTGTTCTTGGTTTCGGAGATGGTGTAAAGAGGAGGCAGCATCAGGTAATATACGATGTTGCTGTTGTTGGGTATTGCATTACCAAGGGCGTCATGACAACTATAGGCTGCAAATTGTGCTATTTGCAGCTCAGCCTCATCAAAGTAGAAGTTAGTAATGCTCGCGTTGTTTCTGGTCAAGTATGTTGGGTGTGTACTGGCTTGGTTGCATGTGATGTTGAATTCGGGTCGGAGGTAACAGCCGTCACCTATGCCAAATGGGTAGGGGATTGTGAGATTACCGCATTTCTCTGGGCACCCAGGCTTGGCTTGAGGCAGCAAGGCTTGAGCTGCTGATGCTATTGGTGTAAATATTGCCGCCCCTAATAGCACAACCATAGAGAGTTGCACAATTATAAGCATTCTCCCAAGTAAGGCCATGGCTTGCACCACTTGATTTGTCCTTGTACTAAAAAATTGGTTTAATGTTTTATGGAGGGAATCAATAAATAAAAAAATGTCTTCCTGGTGTGTACGGATTTGGTAAATACTCGGTCAAATAAATAAATAATATTTTTCCTTAATGGGTCTTTTTCTTATTTGATTGCTGGTACCGTGTAATGACCTAGTCATTAAACAAATAATTGATCAAGTCCATGCAATAATCAAGAGGTGGACCAAGGTTTCTAGACAGTTAGAAATCGTGGACTTGATTAAGTCCGAATGGTGACTTTTCGAAAAAAAAAAAATGTCATTTCTCTAACCCTTCTTCAAATCAAACATAATTAAAAAACAAAACATTTGAGCCATATGTGTGGCGTGGCTTTGGTGGCATATATGTGTGGCTTGGATTTGGTGGCATATATGTGTTTGCCAACAAGAGTCATTCTATAGTGAGGGTCTTATCTATGATGCTTAGGTGAGGCCCTATATCTTAATCGTTTGATCAGACTAATTAATTTGATTGAGCATAGTTGGACATCACAAAATCTAAGAACCAAGAGATCCTTAACAACCCATTTTAGTATTGCCTCCCTTGTATATGTTGTTACAACTTAACACATTGTTGGGAAAAGTGTGTGACATTGGCATCGCAACACACACTACAAAAAAAAAGTAGCAACAATCATTATTATTTGGTGACATTTGTTGGGGTGACTAAAGACTTTAGTCACTAAAAAAGTATTTTTTGGCGGCAAATGTTTAAAATTCAAATTCAAAATTTAAGAGTGACAATGCTTTAAATCAAAGACTTTTAATTTATTTCCATTATTTACATTCAAGGGCAAAATAATCATGAAAAATAAGTAATAAATGCAAATTGAACCGGGATTCATCAATTCAAATACGTGGGTTATACCCAACATTCTCATCCAGAATTGGGTCTGTATTAAAAAGTGCCAAAATATATACAAAGTGAGAAAGAGAGTCTGTATTTCAAAAAGCTGGGCCCAAAGTCCAAAACCAAAAAACTAATGGGCTCCTTATTGAGTCCAAGTAGATATTTGGGCCCAAACAAAGAAAATCCAATTTGTCTGTCACATATTCTTTTCCCATTCAAAAATAAACGTTTTCACTTTTTATTAGTTTTTATATATATTCTTTTGATCAATTCCTCTCCAGAACTTGGAAGGGTTTGCGAGCATCCTGTTCGAGGGTTTCTGGCCTGCGAGTTTCAGCGGTTAATCTCTCTGGTAAAATCTCATTTTGAATAGTTCGCTTCTTAATTCAATGAAGTTGAATATCAATTTCAATTAAAATTGGACGTTCTGGAAATTATTTATATGTCTCATTGCTAAAGTCACCATCTATTTAGCTAATTAGATGATAAGTTAATGGAGGAATTTCATCTGTGTCTGAACCAATATTAGGATACAAGAAGGTAGGGGTTATAAATTAGCACTGAAATACTACTGTGGAGAGGAAAGTTGATCCCTTTGAACAGATTTTTTTTTGGGTGATAGTATTTGTGCTGCACTTTAAGCTATCCTTCATGAGTTTAGTTTTGTTTTAGAGACCCTTAATTTTTCCCTTTTTGGAAGTTCCCTAGTTAAACATTGGAGTACCATTGTTAATTTTGTTCACATTTTAATAGAGTTTCAGTATGTTTTTGATATATTTTAAACTTGGTTTTGAATATTGTTGTGGGTATGAGATTCTATGGGCTCCAGCCTCCACTTGTGTTGTGTCGTCGCTAATTGGGTTTTGTGGAAACTTCAATCCTATGCACTACTGGAAATATGGCTACTACTCACTGATGTAATAGATACAAATTCATAAAAGTGCCATGTGAATTATTTTGGAAACCAATTCTACCATAGTGCCTATTAAAGGTATTTGGAATAGACATTGGTGTGTAATGTAAAAAAATGATTTTCATTATTTTCTGTTAATATTTGGGACTTTTTATCAGTCCCAACTTGTCAAAGGGAGCTGCAGCCCATTCGGCTCCACTCACAAATAACCCAAAGAAGCTTGGCTGGCTCCCTTTATTATTAGCGGCTTGGCTTGACCTCCTTTTCAAATACTTGGTTAAATCGCTCATTTCTCACTCTCTCTGCTTTTACAAACCCTAGAAGTACAAAATTTCCTCAAAATTAAAGATCTTCTCTTCTATGTTCTCTCTGTTCTCACCGAAATTTTGGAAAGGAGGAGTTCTTAGCATTCTGTGGAAGCACCAAATTCGCGAAAGCTTCCCCTTTCTCATCTCTCGACGAAGCTGTGAACCCGGAGGTTGATGTCGATGCTTGGATCCAAGCATTCTCTGCTCATCCTCAGATCGGACACTCGTCTTATTCTTCTCACTCCACCTCTGCTCAGTTCAGTTTCTTAACATTATCTTCTTATTTATTTCTTTATTTGTCAGTAATTCACAAATTTTTAATGTAAATATTGAATGAACAAATGAATACTCCTAATCATGTTCTTCCACAAATCTCCATAACCTCAGGTGGAACGGCTTCCGAATCGGCAGTGAAGAAGGTCTACCTTCTCTACTTTGCTGAGACCAAGTCGATCGCTTAGAAAGTCACGACTCAATCTGATGACTTTGAGCTCTGTAGCCTCACATGGAGGTGAGCTGTCATTAGGCATTTGCCATGGAAAAATTTACTTTTCATTATAAATGCATAAGTTGTATTGTTTATGCATTGCTCTTGTATGCAATTTTTGTAAATTTTGTTTCTTTTAGGAAATTTGATAATGGGTTTCCCAAAATATTCATATCCAATGCTCATGGCAATTGAG